CGGCCCCCGGCGCGCCCCCCCCGGCCGGCGCGCCGCCCCCGCCGCCGCCCGCGCAGCTGTGGGACACCAACACGCTGCGCCGCGCGCTGTCCGCGCCGCAAGGTGACGATATTTCATAAATAATCACACTTCGCTCGCTCACTCCACTCACTCAAACACTCACTCCCACACATACGCACATACACATTAATACATTCATTCATTCATTCATTTTGTTTTTGTTTTATTCACTCATACAATCACAACATAGTAGATGTCCCACCCACACGCACGAAGCGCTTCGCATCAAGCTTCCTTGTGCGTACTGCTAAGGAGTGGAATTGTTTGCCAGAGTCTGTATTTTCTGAGGGGTATAACCTGGGAGTCTTCAAGGCCCGAGTGAATAGGTTGCTTATGGGACGACGTGCTACATCGTAGGTCACATCATCGCTTTCCACCAGGCGAGATAGTATGCAAACGTCGGCACATCAAATATATATAAAAAAAAACATTCACGCACACACTTTTTCATTCATTCATTCATTCACACACACACACACACACACACACTTTCATTCATTCATTTATTGACTTACACACACACTCGCTCAATGTAAATTAATCGAGTTGCCATATACGTGTTGTTGCAGGCTCAGCAATAATCCACGAGCAACTGACGAAGCTGGCGGCGCAGAGCGAGCTGACGCGCGACATCGTGCACAAGATATGTCTCTGTCGTCCGTACGACAAGCCCCTTGATAAGGAGTAAGTATTGTATACTCAATTCCCTAAGATTGCTGTCTGTTCGTCTAATAGCATAACATCACGCCTTTTACCCCGAAAGGGATTGCCAGAGGTGCACACTACGGCACTTAATGCCATATAACACCCACTTTTCACTATTCATGTTATGAGTCCTATGTAATAGGGGGTGAGCCTATTGCCATATACCGGGCACAATCTCAGACTTCGTGCAACTACTGAGATTTTTTTTAAAACCCAGTAATAATTTGTCCGACTCGGGAATCTGACTCGAGACCTGGGGACTTACTCTTGAATCCAATTCCGATCGATCGACATTGGTATTGTGAAATTTCGTACTCTCGAGTTGCATCACTATCGCCCATTGCGTGGATATGGAATGTACTAAATGGTATTGAGTTTAGCTTTATATTCCGTACTCTGAATGCTACTTTGAATCATTCAATCATCATTTATGTTTTGACATTGAATCATTATTGAGATTTTATTGGATTGAAATTGCATTGACATTTAGATTGACTTCAAGAGTAAGCCCACAGTTAGTGAATAGGAACGCAACTAAAATATATTTTTTTTGTCTATGACGCTACTATTGTTCATCCCTTTTGTCTCTGTTTTTGTGAAACTAAGGTTACCGTGTTTTCTAACTAAATCTTCATTCTACTAGTTAAAATATGCTTTAATTGTTTACCACAATCACGATTCATATTCCTTTAAACTGTCAAACACCGCGAGGACACCGGTGACCGCAACCTATTGTTCTTTAATTGTGTCTATAATGACGGTACTCAACGAGTTTAACTGTCAAACACCGCGAAGACACCGGTGACCGCAACCTATTGTTCTTTAATTGTGTCTATAATGACGGTACTCAACGAGTTAAACTGCCAAACACCGCGAAGACGCCGGTGACCGCAACCTATTGTTCTTTAACTGTGTCTATAATGACGGTACTCGACGAGTTAAGACCTCTTGCACTTGCGACCACTCGGCCAACGAGGCAGAGAATTTATTTACTTCATTAAAATTACCTTTTATAATATTCCAGGAATGCTGGCGAGAGGTTCTACAAGATATTGGAGAACTTCAAGGCGGCTTCTACTATCTCGTTCAAGGTATGTATTTTTTTTTTATTTGATGGATCGACGACGTTTAACTAGCGAAGCGATGACGCGGTCTACGATGGACCACGTCGACCCAAAAGGAACCTATTCACTCGGGCCTCGAAGACACCCAGGTTATATTCAAACTGTCAAACACTCCGAGGACACCGGTGACCGCAACCTATTGTTCTATAATTGTGTCTATAATGACGGTACTCGACGAGTTAATATTGTAAACTTTTAAATTGAGTCGGCTGTCGATCGAAATAGTTTTTTTATGATAAGAGTCCAACTGTGACTCGATACCTGTAAGAGCTTTTCTCAGGGTCCTTATAAATAGTTATTTTTAAATTGTTCTTATCTTTATCTGAGATGTGAGACCTGAGATTGTAGGACTTGTAGTTTATTAGACAAGGTGTTGCTGACTTTTTATACAGTATGTTACCAACTTGTTATACAGCGTGTTGGTGACTTGTTATACAGAGTGTTGCTAACTTGTTATACAGTATGTTACCAACTTGTTATACAGTATGTTACCAACTTGTTATACAGTATGTTACCAACTTGTTATACAGCGTGTTGGTGACTTGTTATATAGGCCGTTGCTAACTTGTTATACAGTATGTTACCAACTTGTTATACAGCGTGTTGGTGACTTGTTATACAGAGTGTTGCTAACTTGTTATACAGGTCGTTGCTAACTTGTTATACATTATGTTACCAACTTGTTATACAGCGTGTTACCAACTTGGTATATAGGGTGTTGGTGATGTGTTATACAGAGCGCTGCCAAGTTTTATACAGGTGTTTCTTTTTATGGCAGTGACGTAAAATGCTATGTACGTGCTTGCAGGTGGACATGTGGTGCGGCGGGCGCGGCGCGGCCTGGGTGCGCGGGGCGCGCGCGCGACTGGCGCGGGCACTGCGGCCCACGCAGCGCGCCTCCACCGCCGCGCGCCTGCGGGACGTGCGCGCGCGGACCGAGCCCGCAGACCGTAACTATACTCTTTACTACCTACTGCGGCGCGGGGCGCGGGCACTGCGGCCCGCAGACCGTAATTCTTTACTTTTATGAAAATGGAACTTGTTCTTTGCCATCGCTTGTCGGTCCTTAGCAGTCCGTTTACACCCTGTATGCACTTCTGCCTACTCCCTTACCGTAACATTGCAGTCCAATTCAGTCAATAACGTCCTATTGCAGTGTCGGCGTGGGCGGGGTACAAGCACAGCTGCGACTGTCTGACGCCGCGGACTCTGTGCGCTCAGCAGAGGGAACAGTTGATCAGGTACGGGGGGACCACCTGCAGTGGAATTGTTTGCCAGAGTCTGTATTTCCTGAAGGGTGTATAACCTAGGAGTCTTCAAGGCGCGAGTGAATAGGTTGTTTATGGGACGACGTGCTCAATCGTAGACCGCGTCATCGTGCACCACCAGGCGAGATAGTGGACAAATGTCAGCCCGTCGAATATAAAAAAAAAACAATTATGTACGACTAGTTACTTTCGCACTTTCACCCGCTCTGCTCGGCTCCTATTAATCGTAGCGTGATGTTATATATTAGGATATATAGTTGGATAGTGGATTTATTGAGGAAGGTTATAGGTAGGCAAGAGGAAAATATTTTTTAATTCGAATCCGTAGTTTTTTTTTGGCATAAACGAGCCGACGGATCACCTGATGGTAAGCAATCGGCGTCGCCCATGGACACACGGAACATTAGAGGCGTTACAAGTGCGTTACCGGCCTTTTGGGGACTGGAAATTTAGATTTGTAGAGGATTCGGGGGTTGGGGAGAATGGTAACCTCACCCACACGACGCCAAGCATTGTTTGACGTCGGTTTTCTCGTCATTAATATTATTATGTTTTATTTTTGTTACAGCGGTCTATGCGGTCGGCCGAGGTTCTGTAGTACCATGTAAGTGATAACTATAGTAATATATTTTTTTTCTAGTATAGGTCGGTAAACGAGGCGACGGATCACATGATGGTAAGCAATCCGCGTCGCTACGTACGCAACGTGCAGCGGGTGTGTACAGCGTACAAGTTGTCGGTTCTTCAGGATTTCCTGAGGATGGGAGCCCTGGTCACGGGCCCCGAGTGCCCTTATGGGATCCAAGACGGTTATTCATATCGCTGGGACGCGCCGAACCCTATGTTCTGGAAGCTTACTCTTGAATCCAATTGGATACTTACCAACTAGTCAAAAACAATACTTTTGTCTAACTGTCTAAAACGACAGTTTTCTTTGAATTTTACATTGTGACGTCACGTTTTTTTAGCGTCAAATAAAATAATAAATAATAATAAAAAAATAAAAACTAAAAAAGCCTTATATTTCTTACAAAAAAATACAAAAATAAACTTATTCCTAATTATAAGCATCTATTCCTAATCTGTAATTCTAAAATTAACTTAATTTAAAAAAAAAAATTCTTAAAAAATTAATTAATTTTTATATAATTTATTATTTATGTAAGAACCCCTCGTTCTCGAAGGTGAAGGCCACCTCTAGAGATTTCCATTTATCCCTGTTCTTCGCCTCTCCATCCACTGTTTGCCAGCCGCTTGTATAATATCGTCGTTCCACCTGGCAGCTGGTCTACCCCTCTTTCTGGTGCCTGATGGGCCCTTCCAGGATGTTAACCTGGCTGACCATCGGCTATCTGTTAGTGTCTGGCTATGTGACCAGCCCAACGCCACTTAAGTTTTTTGCTTTGAATCAGAGCGTCTGTGACTTTTGTCTTTTTCCGAATTAAATTATGGGGTATTTTTTGGATTCTTCTAATTTTCAACATACTCCTTTCCATTCCTCTTTGGCACGTCCTGATTTTTGCTTTCGCTTGGTGTGTGAACTTCCACGTTTGGCTAGCGTATGTTAATGATGGTAATATGCAGGTGTCCATAACTTTTCGTTTTATCTTCATTGGCATGTTACATGTGTCAAATAAAATAACATACTTATTTCTTAAAAATTTGCTGGAAAAATATTAAAATTAAGTCGGTCCTAAAATCAATTAATGAAAGAGTAATTATTTTTTAAGATTTTATTTATTTCTTTATGTAACATATTATTGTATTGTATATAACAATAAAACATAATTATATTGTATTATTTATCAATACATAGTATAAAACAAAGTCGCTTTCGCTGTATGTCCGTATGTATGCTTAGATCTTTAAAACTACGCAACGGATTTTGATGCGGTTTTTTTTAATAGATAGAGTGATACTTAAGGAAGGTTTGTATGTATATACATATTGCACCCTTGCGAAGCCGGGGCGGGTCGCTAGTATAACATAAAGGACAACATATATATAAAATTAAAGTACAAAGGTACCACCTATTCCTATTGGAATTTCTTCCTGTGGACCTGGGGCAGGAAAAGTAATAATAGAGGTAATATAATAACCCAGTGTGTTGTAACAAATAGAAAATTGGGATAGGAAACTAGACTTAAAACTAAACAGTTAAAAAATCCAATCAAATTGTATTGAAGAGTCGAAATAATTTATTTTTGACTAGCTTTTACCCGCGGCTTCGCTCGCGTCACAAAAGGATAAAAAGTAGCCTATGTGACATGTACCAATACACACAGCGCCATCTATACCAATACTTTTGTTCTCCCTCGGGAATATCAATTTTTCCGGTATAAAAAGTACCCTATTATTTAATCCAGACTTCTAACTTTACGTCTGCAAAAATTCAAAGCAATCGGTTAAGTAGTTATGGCGTGAAAGCGGAACAAACAAATAAACAAACTCACTTTCCGATTTATAATATTAAGTAAGGATCAAGGAAAGTATCCAATTGGGCAGATTTTTTTTTTTTTAAGGGGGGAAAATCATCGAATGACTGCTCCCGCCTAGGTGAGGCGGAAGGGAGTGTCAGACTCTTACTGACTAAAAACCACCCCGTTCCTTCTCCTGCACGTCGAGCCGGAG